CCCTAAACCCTTAAACCCTAAATCCAAAGCTCTGAGCCCCTGTATGGTATCTACTACTTGGTCGCCTCCGCCCGCCGAAGGACTGCCTTCCGAGACCAACGCTGGCCCTGGAATTCCACCTGATCCAGCAAAGCGAGAAGGACGGGCTTAGGGCCTAGGGCTTTAGGCTAGAGAGTTTGGGTTTAAAGTTTAGGGGTTGGCTACTATACATAGAGTATACGGGTCTGTGTGCTACAGAATGTAAGGTTTAAGAGTGTCGGGGGGTTGAGGGTTCAAGGGTTTGGGGATTGAGGGCGTGCCAAACCCTAAACTCCTAAACCCTAAACCCTAAACCCTAAACCCTAAACCCTAAACCCTAAACCCCAAACCCTCCAATCCCTTTGGGGGCAAGGAGGCCCCGAAACCGGCCTCGTCCTCGGCAGACATGGCGACTCCTGGATTGCGAGAAGAAAAGGCTCTACAGGGAGTTGAGGGTTTAGGGTTTATAGGGTGTAGGGTTTTTTGTTTAGGGTTCAGGGTTTAGGGTTTAGGGTTTAGGGTTCAGGGTTTATAGGGTTTAGGGTTTAGGGTTTAGAGGGTTTAGGGTTTAGAGTTTAGGGTTTTGGTTTCAGGGCTTAGGGTTTAGCGTAGCTGATTTTTGTAGGATTTGATGCGCGTTCTGGTTCGTTGAAGGCTCGTTTGGGCCTCCAAAGAGGTGTCAGGGGACTTTTGATTTGTTATTGTGGTGCTTGCGGTTTAGGGTTTAGCCTGAGCCCTGTTAGGGTCTAAGGGTTTATTGGGGGTTCTGGGTTTAGGGTCTAGGGTCTAGGGTTTATGGTTTGGGGTTTATCTGAACCCTGAAGCCCGAACTCAGAGAGACTGTCTTGTAGTTGCTATTCGGACAAGCACACCCAAAGAGGAAGCCCTGCTTCGGACCATAGCACGGACCAAGCAAGGCTTGGGGCTTAAGCTTTGGGGGCTCAGGTCTAGGGCTTAGGGTTTAGGGTTTAGGGTTTAGGGTTTAGGGTGTAGGGTTTAGTGTTTAGGCTTTGGGGGTTCAGGTCTAGGCATTGGGGTTATGAGGATTTTATGTCCTTCTTTGGGGCTTAGCTTTAGCGCCCTACCATAGGGGCCCAAATAATTACCAAGATTATTTTGGGGGGCTCCTTATATTGTAACTAAGAAGGCTCCTATATGAGGTTTAGGGTTTAGGGCCCTCAACTCGATACTCGGAAGAGGAGCTGACTCACTGTAAGGGGCTCCCATAGCGGTTCTCGTACTGCTTATAGGGCTCGGGGGTTCTGTGGGATTCAAGCAGTCTGTTTGTATTCTGCAGTGCAGTTCCTTCTTCTCGCGAGCCACTTCGTCTCCCTACCTCAACCCAACCCACCCCAACTTCCAAATCCTAAACGCAAAGTCCTCAACCTCGTGAGCCCCCCACACCCTGCTCAGAACCTACTGGTGATGCAGCCTGCATTACAGTACGGAGAAATCAGAGAGTTTAGTGCTTCGTCGGTGCTAGTGCTTCGTCGGTGCTTCTGTCGTCATTTGCCTAGCTTCGGTACTGCAGGTAAAGCAGGATCTGAAGAACTAGCCGTGTGAAAACCTGACATCGGTGATTCCTGCATTCAGCCAGGAGCGAGGCGACGAGGGATCGAGCTCCTTGGCGCTTCGGCATACGCTCTTTAGCCGGATTGTCTGGTGCCTATCACTCAAGGTTTAGGGTTTAGGGTTTAGGGTTTGCTACTCATAATCAAGTCGTTACCGTTACCACAATGGAGGAATGACGAGCACGGTTGCAATCAACCAAACAGCCAACCAATCCAACAATCAGCCAATCCGCAAATCAGCCAGTCAACCAATCACTCAACCCTCAAGGCTGTCAGTCGACCGTCCTAATTCCCAAGCCCTAATCCCTAAACCCTAAAATCCTAAACCTTAACCCTTAAACCTTAATTTTATAGGAAATCCCTACGAAACCCATGGCCCTTTAAGCTAAGGTTTACAGCTGCAGGCAGGTTTCCAAGGCTGACAGATGAAGGTCCAGCCGACCCCAATGCCTGCGAATCAACTACTGTATCAGACGGGGTTTAAGGTTTTGTAATTTGGGTTTAGGGTTTAGGGTCGAGGGTTTAGGGTTTAGAGTTTAGAGTTTAGGGTTTAGAGTTTGGGTTTAGGGCTTAGGGTTTAGGGTTTCGGGCGTAATGACAGCATGATTTGGGCCACTTCTAGACTCGTGCTATGAACAACAGTACTGGCTACCAGCCGTTGCTAGTAAGAATGGAAATGGTGATGGTGGTGGTGGCGGCGGCGGTGGTAGAAGCAGCAGTAGTAGCATTAATAGTCCCTAAACCCTAACTGCCTACACCCTAAACCCTAAACCCTAAACCCCAACTTCCTACACCCTACGCCCTAAAGCGTAGCATCGTTGAAAGGCCAGGAGCTTCTCCATGCCTTTTAGAGACCCCTTCGTCTTGTATCCTCCAGTTTAACGTAGATACCTGAGACAGACGTGCAGACGCAGTCTGAGAGCTTAGGCCGCCTGACACTCTGAAGTCTAAAGCACAACTTGCCAAAGGGGTTTAGGGTTTAGGGTTTAGGGTTTAAGGTTTAGGGTTTAAGGTTTAAGGTTTAGGGTTTAAGGTTTAGGGTTTAGGGGCATTGGGTAAACCCTCAACCTCGCAACTTTGGCTGCCGAGAAACTCCCAGGCTTTGTCATCTGGCTTTCCTGTAGGCGGCTTTGCTTCCAGTCGGAGACATCAAGGGCTTCGGAAAGTAGGGTCCAGGGTTTAGGGTTCAGGGGTTTAGGGTTTAGGGTTTATGGTTTAGGGTAATCATTCTCAGGTTTCTTATATAAATCCCGCAGAAGCGTAGGTTACTCGGGGTCAAGGTGAACCCTAAACCCTAGACCTGCAAACGCCTGATGCTTTCAAGGGTCTCTCTGACTCAATTGACGCAGTGAGGGCAATGACCAGGGGTTCCGCAAAATCCAGTTTTCTGACACCTACCAAATACTTGATACAACGATGGCTATGGTATGTGGTTGATGTTGTGGGGATTCTTGTTGTTATCACGACCATTCCTGACAAATGTTCTGACCAGCTTGTCGTTGATTATTGTCATTGTTGGAAAGGAAACATTCGGTCTCCTCCTTTCCCCACAAACCCGTGAGTGCCTCGAATCGCATGGTCCCAGGGCTTGTTTATAAACCCTATTAAACCCTAAACCTCATCCTCCCACTTGAGCGCCGGGAAGCTCTCGCCCCGAAGTCCTGAAACCCACAGGGCTCTACACCGCCCGAAACGTGCACCCCCTAATGTAGGCTTAGGGCTTAGGATCTTCACCCGAAGTCCCCTGTCGAGATGAGACCCTAAGACCGGAACTCTAACACAAAGGGTTTAGGGTTTAGGGTTTCGGCGTCCTGCGACTTTGGCAGAGAGCCTTGCGCGATCTCCGGGCCCCAACAGCTCGCCCAAGTCATTCAATGCCTCGGGGGCCGGGGACGTTATGACTGGTACTAATGCTACTAGTATTACTAGTATCGTTACATAGTCGTTAGTCATAGTTAGTGATTACTATTTATTACTGCATTGACATATTACTACTAGTATTTGGGTTGTGGGGTCTTTGCAGGGCTTTGGGATTGGGCGATCATGAGTTGGGGTTCATGCGCACAGGATTATCGGTTTAGGGTTTAATTATAGGGTCTAGCGCTTAGGGTTTATAGGGTTTATAGGGTGTTTAGGGTTTAGGGCTTGTGGCTTATAGGGTTTATAGGCTTTATAGGGCTTAGGGTTTAGGGTTTAGGGTACACCCCGTGTACTGAGAGCAATCAAGGTCAAGTGCCCTAAGAGGGTTTGGGCCCATGACTGGACCGCCCAAAATCCCACTTAAAGGTTCATGGATACCCCCAAAGAAATCCTTAAACCCTAGCCTTCCCTCCTGGCGCTCAGAACCAACTTGAGCTATAACTTCCTTACCCTCAACACTGCTTACTTCAAAAATGTGAGGATCCTTCAGGCACACCGCCCACATCCCTAAAGCATCAACCCTATAGGCCCTGGATCCAAAAACCTCAACGCCAAACCCCAAAACGCCAAACCCTTGCAGGGTTTAGGACGTTTAGGGTTTACTTGAAACCTAAAACCCTAAACCCTAAACCCTGAACCCTAAACCCTAAACCCTGAAACCTAAACCCTGAACCCTAAACCCTAAACCAGAATCGACCAACAACGTAGTCAGGGATCCTCCGGGCTGCCCGTCCGCTCTATCGCGGACACCTGAGGGCCCAGAGATCGTGTGGGCATAAGGGTTGCGCGTTTTATAGTTTAGGGTTTAGGGGTTTAGGGTTTAGGGTTTAGGATCCAAGGCTACCAATGGCTCCAAAAACAACTTCTATCGAAAGGTTGTGGTGTTAGACACCGTACTATTATGCAGAGTATGGGGCTGCAAGTTTATACCATAGCACCTTAGTGCACCAAACAAGACAATCTAAACCTGTAAACATTGCAACGGAACGGATCCGGATTCTTCCTCTAGGGCTCTAGCTGAAGGGCTGTTTGCCTACATGGAACTACCCTAAACCCTAAACCTCTACAGGCGGACGGAGGATCCGAGTCAAGTCTACACGGGGACGGTGTAGTGGGGCTGGCAGCGAGGTCTTTTGGGTGAAAGCCTCGAAGCCCGTACCCGGGGTTCTTGAGCCTGTTTACCGGGGTTCAGAGTCTAGGAACTAAAAAAACCGAAGTACAGTTCGGGGTTTAGAAGACACTGGCACCCTTAGATGGGTGGCTGATGTTTGGAATTTGCAGAAGGTTTGGGTTTAGGGTTCAGGGTTTAGAGTTTAGGGAAGGTTTTGTGGGCACACTGCAGTTAAGGTTTAGCACCAGAAACGGATATTAGCATTCCGACCTTTTGTACGGTTCCAGGAACCAGGCTGTGGGACATGCATCGACGCTTGAAGAACTTCGGGCTTGTAGCTCGGGCCACGGGTTTCACAGTTTCACAGACGTTTGCATGTAATTGGCCGGGCGGAATGCATGAGCATTCTTTGCAAAACATCTTGGGCTACTTTTTGTACTTGTGCGTCTATGCCTCTTTATGCGAAGCTTCTGCGACCAGGCAAAAACGAAACAAGCCCTGTAACCAATACTGCATGACTGTAACCTGTGGCTCAGACACCTAACTACTGTCGTCCCCTTCGAAAAGCAACACCATACCCCGATGATTCCCCCTCAGGTTCATCCCCAACTCTCTCCGTTCATCGCAAAGCATACATTTGTTCTAGCCACTTCTCAGCGCTGCCGGCCAACCCTGAACCCAAACCTCGAGCCCAAAACCCCAGTAAGACCAGGCCATAAGGAGCAAATCCCGTCCGGGAAAAGGGAGGTTTAGGGTTTTAGGGTTTTGGGGTCCTTGAAGTGCGGGTTCTTTCCGTGGGTCCTCAGACTAAGCATCCTATCTTTAACGTCCACACGAAAGCCCTTCATTCATCTTCAGAAACTCTACAAGACGGCTGTGGAGGTATACCAATAGTCTCCATTGTAGTTCCTTTTGTTGTTTAACTTGTTTTGCTTAGGGTCCTATAAGGTAACCCCCAAAAAAGGAACTGCAGTGGAGACTATAGGTCTTATGGGATTGTAGGGACATGCTAGCACGAAGTGTTCAGACCCCTAAACCCTAAACCTTAAACCCTACACCCTAAACCCTAAACCCGAAATCTGCGGCGGCCAGGGCACCGCCAAAACCACTGCGTCGAGTAAAGGCGGTGCGGCGGCGGGGCACGGCCAAGGCGGCTCCTAAGGAAATCGAAAGTAAATGAGTTTAGGGTTTAGGGTTTAGGGTGACTATGTACATGTTTTAGGGTTTCGGGGTGAGGATTCAAAAGCTCAAAGCTTGGGATTTAGAACACAGGCTCTTAGAGGATCGGGCTTAAAGTTTCTATTACGAAACTACCTAGTACCTTACTGCCTTGGGTGTTGGCAAGTAAGGACTCCGAAGGAGCTCGAAGCCTCAAGGGTGCTGCAGGTACTCCGGTAGACCCATCACCCAAAAACAAGCCAGGTCCCATGAAAATGCTTGTCAGCACCATGGCATCCGCCCTTCGACCCCTACGCCCTAAACCCTAACGCCCCAAACCCTAAACGTAACCTTGAGGCCCTAAACCCTAAAGCCTGATCCCCAAGCTTGTCTTCAAAGTTGCTTAAGTTCAGTCGTTGAAGCTCTGGTTCCCTGTAAGGACTATTGGGTTTAGGGTTTAGGGTATAATTAGACTATAAGCTAGGTTCCCCAGTAGCCCCATAATAATAAGGGTGCCTTTTTCCTACTATTTGGTTTTAATAATGGTGAGGGAACCGTGCAAAAAGGTACTACAGTACTGGGGAACCTAGTACAGTTTGAAAGACGCTCTCGGCACCAGAATCCTAAAAGTTGGTGAAGCTGTCGAAGACACCGGAGTTCGCGTTGCGTACGCACTGCCGCGTGTGGATTCGCACCCCCAAGCCCGAAGCCTTAAACTACTTACTACACCCCAAACCCTGAATGCTAAATTACTAAACCCTAAATCCTAAACCCTAAACGCCCAACCCTAAACCCCAACCCCTAAACGCCAAACCGTGCTTTGATGACTTAGGAGCTTCGCCAGTCTCCACCGAAAACCTTAAAACAGAGAAGCGAAAGCCAGCATGGGAGGTTCATGGGTAATTAGTAGACGTTAGGGTTTTGGGTTTGGGGTTTAGGGTTTAGTAGTGTGCATGTGCTTGACAAATCCATCTATTTACGACCTCATTCCAGAATCTGGGACCCTAAACCCCACGCCCGCCCTATCTACTAGAGTATCCATGAACCTGACGCTCCTCCCAAGCCGCATCGCGATCACCGTCGAAGCTAATCCTGGGTCTGCAAATGTTCGGGCTTATAGGGTTTAGGCTTCGTGGTTTTGATTTTTGGGGGATATCGAAACTTCGGAGTCCCGCTGTAGGTTTAGGCTGAGGAACTTGGTATTGACAAAAACTCTCAGCTTTGGGATTTTCAGGATAAGGACGCTACTGGTTTAGGGTTTAGGGTTTAGGAGTTTAGGGTTTAGGGCTTTCCCCTAAACCCTAAACCCTCCCCTCACCCAAAACTCCCCGAAATACTGGAAACAGCAGAGCAGTGAAGCATCAAGCTGACGCTTGTTTAGGGCTTAGGGTGTAGGGGGCCTAAGTATATAGAATAGGGTTTGGGCCCCTTTATACTATACTTATAATCAGGAACCACAAGGAATGATATGGGTAATTATTTAGCCTTCTAGATTCGGGTTTGGGCCTCCTGTAGGGTTTAGGGCTGCGCCCAATTTCCAGAGACTCCAGACGAAGAAACAAGGATGCTTATCTTTTAGGCTTCTAGGTTTTTGTTTTGGGGTAGTTTAGGGTCTGTAGCGTTCAAGTAGGCGCAATACACAATGAGGAAACTTACTAGCTAGAAGGGCTGTTGGGGGGTTTCTGTGTTCCATCATTATTATACAGAACCCTAAACCCTAAACCAAATTGTACATATGTCATCTCACTCCAAGTCGCAGCTCTGGAAGCGAAAATCGCCTCAGCTGACAGTAGGTGCAGCCCTCATTCGAGCACAGAAGGCGACTTAGGTCGAGGACGGGGTTTAGGGTTCAGGGTTTAGGGTTTAGGGCTCAGGGTTTAGGGTTTAGGGTTTAGGGTTTAGGGTTTAGGGTTCAGGGTTTTAAGTGGAATGGCCCCCGTAAATAAGTAATCCGCTACTGTCCTAAACCCGACGCACCTAATTTCTACGCGCTTGGTGCCCTTAGGCTTCGGAGACGAACGGAGCCGAGGCGCAACAAAGTTGGCTGCGGGACCTGCACGGTTTAGGGTTTAGGGTTTAGGGTTTAGGGTTTAGGAAGTATCTTCGTGCCCTACGCCCCTGCAGTCAAAGCCCTCGAGCTATGGCCAGGGTGATAGAACCCCTTAAACCCTCAACCATCCTCAACCCTAAACTCTACACCCTAAACCCTACACCCTAAACTAAACCCTGCGCACTAGACCCTATTTAGTGATGCTTACCATCTTGAATACAGTGCCTGAAGCCCGACGCCTGGAAAGCCTGTAGACCTTAAACCCTCTGTGAGCTCTGAGCCTAAAGAACCCGAAACACTCGTGGAGTGAAACATTAGACATGTAGCAGTAGAATCATTAGAATATGGTTTTGGAGTATGCAGTGATTTTCTACGCATTCTACGACTTCTTACAATGCCTCCTCCACGGGCATGCGCTGCGCCAGCAGAGCGGCCACCGCAGCATCAGTCGGACGGAGTGCCAGTATCTGCAGGGGCGGATTCCCCTATGAGGGCTCCGTGCATAAAGATTCTGTTAAAGATTCGTGTTTCAATACTCGGGCCGTGAGCGGCGACTGCACAACCCATCTGAAATCAAGCGACCACACGAGGCAGCTAGGACCACGGGGTCTGCTTTTCTCTGGGTGCAGGATGAAAGCAGTGGCTCATTGCCTAGCTCTGGGCCACAGCCTCAGCCCTGAAGGCATGCCCTTGGTTCTCATCTCCGCAATCATCGAAGGGTCTTGCATGAGTACTGTGACGAAGACAACGACGATTAGCTCCGTAGCTGCCAGTCGTGCTGTAATATCTTGTTGATTGCTGTTGACCCGCTAGGTCTTATCCGCTGGCGATGGAGTGGCTGTGGCGGTGACGCTACTGTTGGAGAGGCGGGCATTTGTCGCTGCTGACTGGCCTTAAACCCTTAACCTCAAGCCCCTGAACCCCTAAACCATGCAAACCCTAAACCCCAAAAATCCCAAACGCTCAACCAAAGTCTAAGCCCTACAGGAGGCCCTACACCCTAGCCCCAAAACCCCTACACATTCTAAAGCCAGCTTCATCTTTCCGAAGCCCCGAAGCCCTAAACCCCAAACCCTAAACCCCTAAGCCCTAAACCCCGAACCCCTAAACTCCTAAACCCCTAAACCCTAAACCTTAACCCCCTAAACCCCTAAACCCTAAACCCCCTAAACCCCTAAACAGTGCAAAACGAGAGCTGAGGCCTCCCTGCACAAAGCCCTGGAGTCGAACTCGATCTCCTGGAGGGTTCGGGTTTAGGCTTTAGAGTTTAGGGTTTAGGCTTTAGGGTTTGGGGTTTAGGGTTTCTTGGGGTTTAGGCTGAAGGTTTGGGGCTTAGGCTTTAGGGTTTAGAGTTTCGGGTTTCGGGTCTAGGGCCTAGGGTCTTTTTCGCTGGTTCTTGGGCCTTCGGGGTTACAATTCGCGGTTGTAAAGGATAGAGATTTCGTAAAACTGTTATATATATATATATTTATTTATTTGTTTGTTTATTTATTTATTTATATAGGTAAATATTTATATTCATAGAGTCGGGATGACACCTGGGTTTAGGTGTTCTGGCTTAGGGTCTTAAGGCTCAGGGCGTTAATACACCTGCTATATACCCTGGATGTACCCTTAAGGGTCCCTCGACAGGCCTAGGGGTCCATATTAGGGGCCCGTACTTCTAACCCTGGACCCTAAACCCTAAACCCTTAGATTTAAGGCTTCGCTTCTGTCACACTCTTCGTCTTATGAGGTTTGCAGGGTCTGGTTGGTTGCGGTACCCAGAGAGCCCAATACCCCTTGATTAAGGAATAGACCTTAAACCATAATATTATAAGGCCCTATAATTTAGGCTATATTCCTTTAACTAAGGGGAATTGGGCTCGCTGGGTAAGCCTTCACAGGGTTGTTATGCTTTTCTTACGGGTCAGCTTATATAGAGTCTGTAGAGTTGAACTAGAGTTGCAAAGGCTCTTGCAGGCCGCCGGAGTCTTGCATAGGGTTCATGAACTTGATTGGATTTTCGAACGGCTCCTAGAAGGTTTAGGATTTCAGGGCTTCGGGGATTGGGGGAGCTCGGATTTCAGGTTTACAGAGCGAAGAGGCTTCGGTTGAAATGTTTTGGGGGCTCATTGTAATTGCAATTCAGCCCCAGACCCCTAAGCCCCAACGCTTAAACAACACCTTAAACCCTCAGGCTTGGACGCAACTTTGAAGTTCTCGGGCCTTCCAGCCCAGCGCCACCGTCTCACTTGGCATAAGAAGGCCAGCAAGCCTTTCTGTAGGGCTTCACAGCAATAAGAAGTGACTGCCCAAAGCCCGTGAACCGATTACTTAGGTTTATGGGTTTGGGAACCTGGAGTTAGATGGGTTTACAGCGATTTGTGACTTGCTGGAGGCGCTCTCGCAGGTGCTTCTTCGCTGCTGCTGCCTGGCCTACGCCTGGATGCCCATGACTGGAGCAGGCATTCCTGTAAGCCTCCTAACTCAAAATCCTAAACCCTACAGTTTGTGTTTTAAAACCAGCTCCCAACGCGCATCCAGTATCTCCAACCTTTCTTTCTAATCGTGACCTCGAAGAGCGTGCTTGTTGAGTGCTTGTACGCTTCGTGAAAGCTCCTCGTGGAACAAGTTGTGGATTTACAAAAACTACTCTTCAGGAAAGCAGGTTCGAGGCCAAGTGCAGAACTATTGTTGAGTCTTGTCCTCCTCCACCCTTTAAGCGCTAAACCCCAAAGCCCTATAAACCCGAAA